ACACTTCTATCTATATTTTGTCAGCGGAGTGTGGTCGGCTGCGGCGGCCATTGTTTTTGTCTAAGATGCTGGTGCTCTCGTGCGACATCTAGTGGCAAGGGAAATTATATATGCAAGACCGTCTCAGCTAACATGTACAACTACTATGCAACATTTGAAATGTTTGTGGCAAGAAAAATCAGGAGTAGAGATTTTGGAAGAGCAGGCACTGCAGCAGATCCAGTCTTACATACAATCCACTGTGACACTCCCATAACAAGGTTGGACTCACAGTAGACAGTACTTTTTCTTGATGTGGGCTCATTCTTGTTCCCATTTCATCAGATGACGTAGTGACAAAAAAAAGATGTTACTTAAACATATACATGTTATAAAAACATGACACTGTACTGTTAGTGTTCAAGAACCAGAGCTAATCTGGTGGAGGAGGGGTCCTTCCGTCCACACTTCTCTTTCAAATAGTAACGACTGCAGTGTTTTGAACCATTCATCTGACCGCCGCTCACTATCTTACCATCACAGTTCAGCTCCTAACTGATCATAGGTGTACGTGTGCGCTATGTGCATGAACGTGACTATGTAGCAGGCTGATATTGAAGCTAAATACTATAGGAAATGCATAATCACTAGAGGGAGCTCACGTACCACCAGTGGGACATGTACCACAGTGTGAGAACCACTACAATGTACAATGTACAGTACAAATACAGTTCCTTATATAGATTTACTCATACTGTCAGTCATTGTCATCTGTTTTCTAAACTCCAGCCTGCGATGACACCACTCTAACAGCTGTCTGTACAAAAAGTCATTACACATGCATTATCTGATGATCCTTGTGGTCTGTAAATGTGTGTAAATGTGTAAATGTGTCATAACAAAGGTTGTATCACTACAAATAAAGCTGGAGATTTTATACTTCAAGGCGCTCTCCCTCGTCCACCGTACAAGGAGGTAAGGTTGTGTCAGAACCCCAGAGCTGTCACTGAGCTGCAGAGGAAGAAAAGCAGAAAGAAGAAAGACATCCATCCACCCTACCGATCTCAGAGTTGGGTTGGAGATTGTGTAGTTTGGCCCAGCCGAGCACAGCCACTCGTCGTACACATGCTGCTCTGTCCCTCAGTCCTGCTGTCAGAGGCTGCTCCACATACTCCATCAGACTGGGTAACCTGTGACACGGAGACACACACACACACACACACAGTCAATAGCCTAATTATTCCTGCAGTCACAGGCGAGTGACCACTTGTACTGGGGTGTAGCTCCTCACCTGAGGTTGGTCATATTCCTCAGGGCCAGGCTGCGGACCATGGGGTTCGCATCCTGGCAGTCTTTTCTCAGAGTGTTGATGACTAGCAGAGACAGCTCTGGGTTTAAAGCAGCATAGGAACACAGGAATACGTAGACCAGTTTCTTCTGGACTATGTCTACTGTGGCACAAGCTTTTACCATGTCGCTGAACAGGCCTGACACATCCACACCCTGTGACATGGCTCTGAGACAGGGAGAGAGGGAGGGGGAGAGAGAGAAAAACCCTGAACATTATATGTTTAAATGTACAATATATAACTTCTAATTTTTTTTCCATAGGTTTCTACCGGGAGCCAATTATCCACAGAGGTCTCCTCCACTCCAAAAC